AGTTATTATTATAAACTTATAATGAGGATCAAGCTGAATCCATCTAAAAATATATAATACAGCTTAGATTTTGGGAAATTGGGTTAGCCATGGCAGGGAACAGGTTAAATCAATGTTTAGTTTGAGACGTTACAAAAAACAATTTTCAATTGTACATAAATTCCTTTAAAATGTTACTTTAATTTTTCATATGTTTATTTTCAATTTCTTTTTCTCATTCATCAAAAGTCAATGATGTACATACTAAATTAGTAAAAACTCTAAAAACGATATGTAAAAATACAGATAAACAAATGGCTTGTAAAAGAAAGCAGCAATAAATGAGTTTAGGCAAAATGTCTATTTCATTAACAAAGATTTCCCTTTTAAAATAATAAACTTTAAAATAAAGTTTTACTAAACTAAAATTAGCGTTTTAAAAAATAAAAACGTGGCATTTGGCGCAGTCGAAAAGGATACGGAAAGAAAAAATGGCGGAAAATCCAAACAACCGGTTGCAAAAATTCAACGGCTCGAAGTCGGCAATTAGGCCTGAGTCATGGATCAAATTATATGATTTTGAAAATAATTCTTTAAAGGAAGATGAAAAAATCAAAATCTTATGTACTACTTGACAGATTCAGCACTTGAATGGTATGCAGACGAGAATATTTCAAATCCTGCAATAAAAGATGGGAAGTTGTAAAGGAAAAGTTTATTCAAAGATTTGGTTCATACAACTCAAATCAATTGTCTCAGCATCACATCGAAGATTAAAACAAGAGGAATCATAGAAAAATATTTTCAAGATAAAATTCGCCTGTTAAATCAAACCCATCTAACGAAGGAGGAAAAAAATTTTTTTAACAGACGGACTTCCAAATGATTGGAAAGATTTAATTGTGGCTGCACAGCCAACTGACGCCACAAAATGGTTTATATCGCAGCTTCAATTGAACAAAATAGGGCTTCAATTCAGTTTAAGCCTAAAAACAAAATACATCTCGCGACAAAAAATAATGATAATAGAAAAAATGTTTGCCCATTCTGGTGTCCAATATGTTCGAAAAAGGGAATAAAAATTAAAATTGGGTCACAGATTGTGAGGATTATGATCCTAATTATAAAAAGGATAGGCCTAATCAAAACACTTCAGTGAAACAAGTATGCGGAGCCTCGGAATTGTTGAATGTAAGTACTTTGACAAATACCCCTACACAAGGAGCTTTCAAGTTTATCAACATAAGTGTTGAAGTAAATGGAATTCCTGCGCTAGCATTTGTGGATACTGGAGCAACAGTATTAATGATCAATTGGCGATTGTTCAAGCGAACCCGTCTTCAACTTCAACCAAATTCAGACATTCACATCAGCCAAGCGGATGGTGTTACCAGGACATGTGGAAGCCTTCAGACCAAGGTAAGAATAGATAAACTAATTAAACCTGTAACTCTCATGTAATGAAGAACTTTAAATATCCACTCTTGATCGGATTAGATGTTGCATCTCTTTTTAATCTTTTAATAGATGTCAGAGACAAAACAATTTACACCAAAATTGATGGATTACAAAATCCAATTCTTGTAAATCATCTAGAAGAGATAAGAGAACATGAATTAAAAGAATTACTTGAACACAATAGGAATGTATTTTCTCAGCATGCTATTGATTTGGGAAAAGTAGCTATACAACATAAGATCATCACGAAAAGTGAACAACCAATTTCTTTAGACCCTATCGTCGTCCTCTAAAAGAGTATGAAGAGATAGCTGAACAAGTTAAAGAACTTCTCGAACACAAGTTAATAAGAACTTCAGATTCTCCTTGGGCATTTCCTGTTGTTATGGTTCCCAAGAAGGATGGAAATAAAAGGATGTGCATTGATTACAGACGTCTTAATGAGATCACACTGGATGACAGGCAAACCCTACTCACATACAGGACATGTTTGATCGATTGCATGGATCCAGATACTTCTCTACCCTTGATGTTGCATGGGGTTATTGGCAGATCGAAATGGACCGCAATCTATTCAAAAAACTGCATTTGTAAACGATGGTCATTATGAGTTTTTAGTGATGCCCTTTGGTTTAAAAAATGCTGCTTCAACGTTTCAAGGATAATCCAACATATTCTAGGTGAATTATTATGGAAAGGAACTTGCTCTTTCCAAGATGACATATTGGTGTACACGAAAACATGGCAGAGCACATAGAGCTTCTTAGTAAAGTTTTTGACAAATTAAGACAGTACAACATGAAATTAAAATTGTCGAAATGTATTTTTGGAAGAACTGAAGTAAAATACTGGACATATCATCAGTCACAATCAATTAAAACCTGATCAGGAAAAGTAAAATTATTCAAGACTTTCCAAGCCTGATACTGTAAAGGAAAGTTCGTCAGTTCATGGGATTAGCAAATTATTACAGAAAATTTGTGAAGGACTTTTCTAAAATTTCATTCCTTGGTTCGACTCATCGGAAGAATCAGCCCTTCATCTGGAATGAGGAAGTAGAGGAGTCGTTCGCTAAATTAAATGGCACTATTACAAAACCGTCCTTTTCTATTTACACCGGATATCTAAAGTTTATACAGATGCCTCCAAATATGGAATTGGAGCAATCCTAACACAAATTGGTCAGACAATGAGGAACTTGTAATTGTTATTATCCAAA